TCGCTTTGTCGACCCCATGGAAACCCGTAGAGCGCTTTATAAAATTCTTTCCTCTTTCAGGCCATGAGGGAAACAAGATGAATGTAGTACGGATACTCTGCTTGAAATGATTCTCTATTAGGGATTCCCGTCCCCCCAGAGCTACGACAATGCAAGTAAATGGGGGGTAAATATAAGGATTGCAACCCCGTATCAAGAAATCAACCCACTTGCTGATATGTCCCTGCTCAGCCTTTCCTTAATCTTGTTGGGCATGTGCTAGGAGTGTTGTTCGCTGCAGTTTTTTTTTTGGACTTTTACAAGCACTTTTTAATTTAATTTTTTCTCTGCTTAAACGCTCGTGGGTATCCAAGTCAACCATTCAGGGGACAGCATAAAATCATTATCAACAAAAAGGGGTCCCGCAGCATAGCAACACATCTTTGAAAGACAGCTTTGGAAATCTTCTGCTTTGACCAAATACAGGGGATAAACCAGCAGCAACAAACAAAGCGAAGCACCCAGCTTAGCATAAATTAAGATTTAAATTGGCCCTTTACCTGTTGTTTTGGGGATTTTTAACTGGAAGGGTTAATCCAAAACAAACACTTCAAAAAAATTAAAATTTGAAATGGCTACTTGTTAACCCTTGCAGGCTTAGGGAATTTGTAAGCTCACTTCGCAATGATAAAGTTTTTGAAATGTTTGAAGAGAAAGTAAACTGTGGGAAAGACACGTTGGGGGTGATCATCACGGTCAGGAAGGGAAACGAAATTTTGAAGGCCCAGACAATAAAAATTGTTTTGTACCAAGGCAGAAATAAATGAAAAGACAGTACATCTTCGTCATTCTGGTTTTCATAAATTACAGAATTGGTGAAAAAAAAAAGAAATTACCAAACTCAAGAAAAAGTTTGGTTTTTCTGTTCAAAATTACAACTAGCCAGATGCAAAGAATGAAAGCTGCATAAAGTTGCAACCCCTTTCAGCAGATTTCAGGACACTTGTTGAAGAAATATTTTATTTTTTCTGGGGTATGAAACAATTAAAGCTCCACCTGAAAAAAGTGCGCCCTCGCTCTTTGAAACATTTAAGAAATGCAGGTATTCGAAACCTTCCCCCAATGGAAATAGGTATCGCCCTTTCCTAACACTTTCCCGCTACTAACTGTGAAGGAGAACTTTCATTTCTGTTTTGAAAAATGAAAAACCAGCTCCGTTCAACAATGAGCAAGACAAAAAGTTAACCCCAGCTTGTTGACCTTAGTCTGACTAAAACCAAGAAATATTTATTTCGAATTAATTGATGATTTTGCCAAAATGAAATCCAAAAAAGTTTTTAAAAAGTGCCTGTGAATATAAAACAATTTTTTACTTCTTGAGTTTAAGATTTGTATTTTATGCATGAGCAATGTAAAAAATGGGCATGATTTTTAAAGGGAATAATAGTGCGTATGGGTTATGCTGAATAAAAGGTACATGTGCCCTACTTTTAAAGCCAATCTATAATACTTGCTTCTTTAGTTTTTCGCTTTAAAAAAAGCTGATTTAAAAAAGATTTATAATGGCTGTTGGTAAAAGGTTTTTTTTGTCTTATGTACTTTCCCCATTAAATTTAATCTAAAAACCAGAATGATTTAATTAGACCTTAAAAAGGGTCAACCGACCCCCCCCCCCCCCAACTGGAAGGGGCGTTCGCTTACCCTAACTCAAAGGGGCCCCGCCAATCTGAATAGCCAGGGCCCGGGGACTTTTAACCGGCCCCGTGGTACGGGGGTTTTGGTTCGATGAGAAGGGGGTTTTTCTGTCAGGTATTAGATGTTTTTGTATCAGTGTTGGTGAGGTGGGGGATGTTAATTTTTTATAAAATTTGTCGTAGGTTCTGTTAAAATTTGAATTTGTAATGCGGTTTACGTATATATTACGGTAAAGGGTAAGTTTAAGGGAATAAGGGCATGGAATTGTACATATTTCCTATTTTGGTTTGTATTGTTTATGTGTTAATAAATTGTTTTAATAAAAACAGTATGGGTTTCACGGAGCCTTACCAATTTTGTTCTAAAAAAATTTGGGGGGTTTTTCTTTGTTTGAATTTTCTTTGGAAATGGTACATTGGGGGTGAAATTTTTTTGAGGGTTGAATTTGCCCGGGGGTGGGGGGGAGGGGCGCGTATGCACTTATATTTGTTGCTTGTGACTTACTAAATTTTTCATGTATGTAAGTAAATTATTAATCTTGCTGTCCCACTATTGTGCTTGGGCGTTTCGGGGTTTGCGGGGAGGAGGGGGATTATTGATTAACTTAAGTGTTTGAAAACTGTTTGAAACCATACCCCCGCCGGATTGAAACCCGCGGTCACAGAGTCTCAAAAATCCCGACCCTCGCGTTAGCCACTAGACCCGCTAGCCAATAAGATTCATCCAACTAGGTTTAAAATTTTACACCATAGGAAAGGTTTGCACGGCACCTCTTGACCCAAATGCAAGTTTTTACGATGAAACCCAGCAGGTGCCGGACGAAAATCTAGCTCATCCCCCTTTACTGCCGTCAACAACGGGCGGGGTTTTGAAACTCTATGACCGGGGTTTTAAAACCCCGGCGGGGGTATTTTTTTTGCAATCGGCATTAATTTTTTAAATCTGTTTAAAAGAGGTGGGGGGAGCCGGTAATGTCACCTTTTGCATTTTCAGTTTTAGGTTTTTAACATAAATGAAAATTTAAATAAAGTTTTAAAAAATTAAAAAAAAGGAAAACTAAACGAAAAAAAATAGAGTCTGGTAATTGAACAAAGGGAAGGGGCCAAAAATAGGGTGTAAAATGAGTGAAAAACGCCGTGCGAAATTCGCCCCGGGGGTTTTGTTATTTAAAACCCGACCCCACTGTAATTTGCAAAAACACTAACCCCGGCCCCCCAAAACAAACCAAAACAACTCACATCATTTTTGCTTATATTATATGACCTTATCTATTTAACATCTGCCAAACGATAAACACCTGTTTTCCTTGTCCCGTCCCTGTAAACCCCTCAGTTCAAAAAGGGCACCCGGGTGTTAGTGGCTGGGGGTCGCACCCGGGGCAAAACTGACCTAATTTTCCCGAAATGCCGCATAACAAGCGGCTTTCTTATAGTAATTCATGATGTCAAGGCGTATACTTTTACATGTCTTACAGAAAAAAGATATTATTATTTTTATTATTTTATTATTATTTGTGGGTTAGCCTTCTTTTTGATTATATTAATAATAATAATAATAATAATAATAATAATAATAATAATAATAATAATTATTATTATCATTGTTTTTATTATGTGAAACTTCAAGATTATTATTTTTATAAACCTCCACCTTGACTACCTCACATTAGTATTAAGATTAAATATAGATTTTAATATAAGTAAACCACTCTTATCTTGTCTAGATTTAAGTAATGCATTAGGATTAGTCTCCCCAAAATGCCGTGGCATGATAGTGGCTTTCTTTGTTCGTAGCAAATCAAAACTCTAATTAAACATTCTACCCTTTGCAAAAAAATAAAATCTTTAATTTTTTTTTAAGAAAAAAGCGGCCCACAGCTCAGTGACAATACTTTCAGAAATAAAAAAAAAGGCACAATACCGTGACTGGAACGATACACAAATAACCCGCACATAAAAGAGAGAACCTTACGACGACGTTTCGGTCCGACTTGGACCATTGACAAAGTCACACTAACAGAGGTGGAGCAGGACAGTCGCCGTCTAGTTGAATCCTCTCTAATACACAACTTTCCTTGTATGAACCTTAGCCCTGGCTTCGTCTCTGTAGATGCCTTCCTCTCCCACTACATTGTAAAATGCTCCAAACTTCAGAACACCCGTGACTTAACCTGAATCCTCATTTTTTCTTTTTCTGTTTCTTCTTCCTCTTCCCCTTTCCTCTTTCCTTTGCTCCTCTGGGTTGTCTTTCACTCTCATGTCTCGTGTTTCTGTTCCTTCTTCATTTATTTCACCACTTCCCTTTCACGCACCTCTGTGCGCTTGCTCTCCCTCTGTGGGCATCTAGCTCTCTTGCAGTGCTCCCCTTCCTTTGTATTTGACTGGCTCGTCCTTTTCCCACTTCTACCACTACCACTACTACTACCTCTTCTTCTTCTACTACTACTACAACTACTGATAAAATTAAGACATGTGCGGCGTCTGGTTGTCTTTGTTGTGGACGTTTTGCCATCCAGTGGCTGGCTGGATGGCGAAACGTCTATGATGGGGATGCCCGGGTGTTGTGCATGTGTCTTAATTTCATCTTGTCGGTATCATATACAACTCTTGTACTACTACTACTACTACTAATACTACTACCACCACCTCTTCCTGCCTATATATAGCCGTCCTGCTCCACCTCTGTTAGTGTGACTTTGTCAATGGTCTAAGTCGGACCGAAACGTCGTCGTAAGCTTCTCTCTTTTATGTGCGGGTTATTTGTGTACAATACTTTCAGCTCATAACCAAACGACCTGGTTTCCAACCCTGGTGGGTTAAGATGTATATAGGCAAATCTCCTTATATCTGCTCCGTATGTTCACCTAGCAGTTATTAGATACTGTACCTAGGTGTCAGATGAGTGTCATGAATCACATCTTAATATAGCTGGACTCTGAGACAAGCTGGGGTAAGATAAGATACAATTTGTTTGGATTTTTAACCCCGGAGGGTAAGCCACGCAGGATTACCCAAGTCAGTGTGTTATCGAGGACTGTTCGGCTTATTTCCACTGAGGTCCTTCAATCTTGTCCCCCAGGATACCACCCACACCAGTCGGCTAACACCCAGGTACCTACTTACTGCTAGGTGAACGGGGACAGCAGGTGTAAAGAAACACATCCGTGTTTCCACCCAAACAGGAATTAAACCACAAGACACTCAGTGTGTGAAGTGAGAGCATTGCCTACCAGGCCAGATCTTAGTCTGTAAATTCAAGTGCAAAAAAAAAAAAAACAGGCAATTACAACAATTTAATGGAAGAAAAAGAATATAACATTTACTCACCTTAAGTTCATTATCTAACTTTCCCAGGTATGCTCCACATTCAAAAAAAAGTTCTTTAGTGAATGGAACTTGGTGTAGGATCTTGCCTTCAATGAATGTTAACAACTTCACCATGTAACGACCACTTGGCTCTTCATTAGCTGCAAACAATTAATTGTTCTTCAAAGCATTCATGATGTGATACAGGTAAGGCTAAACCTAGAAAATTGGTAACTTCTGTAGTGTACAGCATTTTATTGCACATCCATCATAAAATAGGCAAATTTAATGCAGGAACAGATATAAAACAGATATACTGGACTTGAGTCCTGGAGGTGGGAAGTACAGTGCCTGCACTCTAAGGGAGGGGCTTATGATATTTGTTGTTTAGAAGGACATCTGAACTGTCATAGAGTGTATTACAACCCAGGGACAATAAGGCCTGTTATCCTGGGTGTAAAGGGGAGCAAGGAGCAGAACAAACACAGCTGAATGACTTTGAATTATATTTTCTTTCACCAAGTGCAATTATAAGTATTTACAAGTTTTTTTTTTTTATTATCACACTGGCCGATTCCCACCAAGGCAGGGTGGCCCGAAAAAGAAAAACTTTCACCATCATTCACTCCATCACTGTCTTGCCAGAAGGGTGCTTTACACTACAGTTTTTAAACTGCAACATTAACACCCCTCCTTCAGAGTGCAGGCACTGTACTTCCCATCTCCAGGACTCAAGTCCGGCCTGCCGGTTTCCCTGAACCCCTTCATAAATGTTACTTCACTCACACTCCAACAGCACGTCAAGTATTAAAAACCATTCGTCTCCATTCACTCCTATCAAACACGCTCACGCACGCCTGCTGGAAGTCCAAGCCCCTCGCACACAAAACCTCCTTTACCCCCTTTCCCTCCAACCTTTCCTAGGCCGACCCCTACCCCCCCTTCCTTCCACTAAGACTGATACACTCTTGAGGTCATTCTGTTTCACTCCATTCTCTCTACATGTCCGAACCACCTCATCAACCCTTCTCAGCCCTCTGGACAACAGTTTTGGTAATCCGCACTCCTCTCTTAACTTCCAAACTACGAATTCTCTGCATTATATTCACACCACACATTGCCCTCAGACATGACATCTCCACTGCCTCAGCCTTCTCCTCACTGCAACATTCATCACCCATGCTTCACACCCATATAAGAGTGTTTGGTAAAACTATACTCTCATACATTCCCCTTTTTGCCTCCAAGGACAAAGTTGCTTTGTCTCCACATGACTCCTAAGTGCACCACTCACCCTTTTCCCCTCATCAATTCTATGATTCACCTCATCTTCATAGTACCCATCCGCTAGACACGTCCACTCCCAAATATCTGAATACATTCACCTCCTCCATACTCTCTCCCTCCAATTGTATCCAATCTTTCATCGCTAATATTTTTTGTTATCCTCATAACCTTACTCTTTCCTGTATTCACTTTTAATTTTCTTCTTTTGCACACCCTACCAAATTCATCCACCAATCTCTGCAACTTCTCTTCAGAATCTCCCAAGAGCACAGTGTCATCAGCAAAGAGCAACTGTGACAACTCCCACTTTATGTGTGATTCCTTATCTTTTAACTCCACGCCTCTTGTCAAGACCCTCGCATTTACTTCTCTTACAACCCCATCTATAAATATATTAAACAACCACGGTGACATCACACATCCCTGTCTAAGGCCTACTTTTACTGGGAAATAATTTCCCTCTTTCCTATGTACTCTAACTTGAGCCTCACTATCCTCGTAAAAACTCTTCACTGCTTTCAGTAACCTACCTCCTACACCATACACCTGCAACATCTGCCACATTGCCCCCCTATCCACCCTGTCATACGCCTTTTCCAAATCCATAAATGCCACAAAGACCTCTTTAGCCTTATCTAAATACTTGTTCATCTGCTATCCTATTCTCAGTCTTACTTTTAATTCTTTCAATAATAACTCTACCATACACTTTACCAGGTATATTCAACAGACTTATCCCCCTATAATTTTTGCACTCTCTTTTGTCCCCTTTGCCTTTATACAAAGGAACTATGCATGCTCTCTGCCAATCCCTAGGTACCTTACCCTCTTCCATACATTTATTAAATAATTGCACCAACCACTCCAAAACTATATCCCCACCTGCTTTTAACATTTCTATCTTTATCCCATCAATCTCGGCTGCCTTACCCCCTTTCATTTTACCTACTGCCTCACGAACTTCCCCCACACTCACAACTGGCTCTTCCTCACTCCTACAAGATGTTTTTTCCTCCTTGCCCTATACACGAAATCACAGTATTTACAAGTATGTACATTATATACAGTTGGAAATATATATGTACCACACGGTGAATCAATAGGCAAAGACACAGCCTGGAGACAGAATGGACAACCATATTCAACCAGCTCTAGAATGAAAATGACAAGGGTGGAAACGTGAGTGGTGGCCACATCACCTCCACAATTGCCAGACCCACCTTCTCATTGGCTGAACCTAGGTACTGATCTGACGATGGGGCCCCATCGTCCGACCCTTAGCATCCAGTTCGCTGGTTAGGGAGGTCGCCTTTTAATGAGGGTGTGTACATGCCCAGAATAAGGGTTACGTACTCTTTGCATGCCACACAGCGACAGTGTGAATGATGGTGAAACCGTTTTTTTTTTTTAGGTTCCCCTGCCTTAGTGGGAGATGGTTAGCATTAAAAAAAATGTCTATCACTGATGCTTCACTGTTACTTTGTATGCAGTATTGTGCTCTGGACTAATGCCTAATTTTCTCTAAAGACATTATTCAGATTACAACCTACTCATGAGTTTTACTTATTGAAGCCAAATATTATGGAATAACTTGTATAGGTACTTTAGTCACAGAACGTTCTCTTTCAGGTAGATTTTATATTTTATCCACTTGTTTGTTTATGCAGTTGTCTACCTCTATCAAGTAACCACTATATACACTGCACTAAAACAGCAATGACTTCTATGTAGAAAGTGGGATCAGCATGTTTATGGCAAATAGATTTCTACCCTCTAAGCTGAATTATTTGTTCTACTCCTTTCCTTTAAAAATGTTCATAAACCAACAAAAATATGCCATTAGAACAACTACTCAGTTATATTCCAAATAGCAAACCTTTTTCCCCCCTTTTCCCTCATTGTTCAAAGATTTGAACCTACTAATATATAAAGTGCTCACACATACACTGCTCATACTATATATACAGAACACTTAATACAAATATTTCATCTTGAGCTAAAACAATTGCTGGAGAGCAGTGACAGATCACATAGGCATGACACCAGAAATAAATAAATCTTCAGTATTCCATGTGTATGACTCAAACTAAACACTCCATGAACATCAAAGGGACCAATACAGGCAGGCCCCACTTTACATCACTTCACTTCTTACCATTTCACTAATTATACCCATTCTTCATTTATTCAGGCTTCTTACAATAAATATATTCACCACTCACTATAAGCTAAGGATAAAAATATTTTAGGGTAAGTAATGTGTGTACTGTATGTGCATTTTTTAGCCTTAGCTCTATGACCCACTTAATATATGACAGTGTAAACATGTTATCGGGGTTTTATTTGCATTTGAATGTGAAAAAGAGCTATGTTTCACTTTACAGGAATTTTCACTTCACAGCAGCAGCCTGGAACCTAACCTGCTGTATAAGCAGGACCCTCATGTACTGTGTCAATTGTATCTTACTGTATACTGCTAGCTTATTCAGTTGCTACTTTCCCATTGTAATCTAAACCAATTTATTTATGGAAATTGAATTGTCCTGTAAAACTTAAATCACTGACTGTAATCTTTATCAATATGCCTGTATACTAGTATTAAGTAGTTTGTAAGTACTATACATCAGGTAGTTTTAGTCTGCCCAAAATACTTTATGTAAGGATTAGTTTACATTAGCTTTACATTAGCATTAGTTTTCCCATGCCTACCAATATTTTATTACATGGAAACTACATTATATTAGTACTGCAATAATAGAAACTGTTGCATGAGTCCTGCTCCTCTATCTGACATCATTTTATACCATTAAAGTATTAATACACATATAAAATTGTACTATTGTAAATTGCACTAACTGAAATGTTTTTTCTTTTTTTGCTACCTCTCTACTATAAATCAGATTATAAATTTTTTTTCTCTTTTTTATAATAATATATAATTAAAATTTAAAACTCTATAGCCTATGTCTAGTTTTAATTTGCCCAAAATGCTCATGCATGCTAGTGGCTTTCTTTGTGCTTAACATATTTTATTACATGTAAACTACACATTGTATACTATGCAAAGAAATAAAATATTTGAATTTTGGATTTGAGTTTTGAATTAATAGAAAGTACAGTGGTACCTCGGTATACGTCCTTAATCCATTCCAGGACCTTGGACTTATACCAAACGAATTTTCCCATAAGAAATACAGTAGAACCTCGGTTTTCGAACTTAATCCATTCCAGAAGGTGGTTCTAAAATCGAAATGTGCGAAAACTGAATCAATTTTTCCCATGAGAAATAATGTAAAACAATTAATCCGTTCAAGACACCAAAAAAATATTCACAAAAAATTCATTTTTTAAAGGATAAATATAGTTTTACATACACAAAATAATGATAAATAAATATAAATATAAACATTACATACCTTTTATTGAAGACTCTTGTTGGCATATGGACGAAGGCGAGGAGGGGAGAGGGAGTTAGGATTATTGTTTGGAAGGGGAATCCCCCTCCATAATGACTTCAGGTAACAAGTCTCTCTCTGGGGTTACTTCCCTTCTTTGTCATTTAATGCCACTAGGACCAGCTTGAGAGTCACTGGACCCCTGTTGCACAAAATTAACTGTCCAGAGAGCTCTGTTTCTGGTATCTCTTTAAGATTTCTCTGAAGTGGGACAAGGTTCTGTCGCTGAACATGCTGCAGAGATGGCTTGTTTCAGCTTGGTCAGGGTGATATTTCTCAGCAAAAAGCTTGCACCCTACTCCACATTGCACAACTCTCATTCATCTCTGAAGAAGGCACCTCCTTCCCTCTCTCTTCCTCCTCTGAAGCAATTTCCTCAGCTGCAGTCTGTTGCTGTTCGAGTTGAAGGTCTTGCAACTCTTCAGTGGTTAGCTCTTCCCTGTGGTCCTCCACCAACTATTCCACATCTTTGTCACTCACATCCAACCCCATGCACTTCCCCAGTGACACAATAGATTCCACAACAGGCAGAGGGTCGACAGGGTCAGCCTCAAACCCTTCAAAATCCTTCTCAAGGACACAGTCTGGCCACAATTTTCTCCAAGCAGAGTTCAAAGTTCTGGAAGTCACTTTCTGCCAAGCCTTACCTATAAGGCTTATACAACGAAGGACATTAAAGTGATCCCTCCAGAACTCTCTTAGGGTCAATTCAATGTCCGAGGTCATTTCAAAGCACCTTTGAAACGTTGCTTTGGTGTACAGTTTTTTGAAGTTAGAAATGACCTGCTGGTCCATGGGCTGGATGAGAGGAGTGTTGTTTGGGGGCAAGAATTTCACTGTTATGAAACTAAAGTCCCTAGACAATTTGTCATCCAAGTCTGAAGTCTTGTGCTCCTCCTTCTCAAGTTCCTGCAGCTCCTCAGTGGTCAGCTCTTCCCTATGCCCCTCCACTAACTCCTCCACATCACCATCACTCACATCCAGACCCATGGACCTGCCCAAAGAGGCAATATCCTCTACTATAGACACAGCCTCGAAGCTGTCAAAGTCCCTTTTAGCCACTGCTTCTGGCCACAAATTCCTCCAAGCAGAGTTCATTGATCTGTATGAAACTTCCTGCCAGGCTTTATCAAGGAGAGTTATGCAATGGACGATAGTAAAGTGATCTTTCCAAAACTCTCTCAGGGTTAACTTTGTGTCAGAGGTCACTTCAAAGCACCTCTGAAATAGCGATTTAGTGTAGAGTTTCTTGAAATTACTGATGACCTGCTGATCCATGGGCTTAATGAGAGGAGTCTTGTTAGGGAGATCCAATTTTACAATGATGAAGTCAAACACTGGCAGCACATAGTCCTGCAAGCTTGGAGGGTGAGTTGGAGCATTGTCCAGTATGAGGAGGGCTTTCAGAGGCAGGCTTTTCTCCTCTAAATAACTTTTTACACAACATTAAACCATTCGCTGAAATATTCTCTGGTTACCCAAGCCTTGTTGTTTGACTTCCACATCACAGGTAACCGAGTTTTCTGCACGTTATATTTTTTAAAGACCCTCGGGTTTTCAGAGGGGTAGATCAGTAGAGGCTTCAGCTTGCAATCCCCACTTGCATTGGCTTAGAACAAGAGAGTTAACCTATCATTCATTGGCTTGTGTCCTGGTAAGGCCTTCTCCTCTTGTGTAATATATGTCCTGTTAAGCATTTTCTTCCAAAATAGGCCTTTTTCATCACAATTAAAAACTTGTTGGGGAGCAAAACCCTCAGCCTCCACAAATTACCCAAACTCTGTAACAAAATCATTGGCGGTATCTTTATCAGCACTGGCTCCCTCTCCATACAAGTTCTAGCACACGAGCTGCATTCCAAACAAAGGTCGTATACCAAGCAAAAGTTTTTGTGTCCAAACAGGACGTATACCAAGTTGGACTTATTCCAAAGCGGACATATACCGAGGTACCACTGTATTAATAAAATTTCCAATTACCGCTTGTGTGTCTGTAATCCTACATATAAGATCAACAAATACATAATTTTATCAGCAAAATATCAATAAATATATGAAAACAAACATGTCAGGTTTGTGAATAAAAACACAAGAAAAGGGTTTTCACACATAAAGACAAATTTCCTTTACCGTTATTCTGAACAGATTCATCAGACGATACGTTGATCTTCTCTAGCGTCATGTAAGTTCCGTGAATGTTCTTCTCTGGCTTAGGAACCCTGAAGCCACGAGCATGGAGAAAAAACATCATCTGATTCTGTGCCTTGATAAAATTCTCACTTTTACTGTCCAGAGAGTTAACAATCTTCAACACGTATCCACTTGGACAAAGTTCTTTAATATGTGGATTATTTATTGTTGACTTTACCTGTATATTAAAAAATCATTCAGTTAATGACATAGTAATTTTTGTTAACTTTGTAAATTATTTTTCAACAAGGCAAGATGTATGGACAAATCTCCTTACACCTATAGTGCCTTTGTTCGTCTAACAGTAAATAAATTTCCAGGCATTAGTTAGCCATTGTCAACTACACCTTTGGAGAGAGGACCTAAAAGACCCTAAGAGAAATGAACTACATTCCTTTACTTTCTTATTTTATCCTTATTTATTAACCCGAGGCAGGGTGACCCAAAAAGAAAGAAAAATCCATAAAGGAAGAAAAAACTTTCATCATTTAACACTTTCACCATCACTCATACATAATCACTGTCTTTGCAGAGGCGCTCAGATCCGACAAACTACAAATATCCTAAACCCCTCCTTTAGAGTGCAGGCATTGTACTTCCCATTTCCAGGACTCTACATAGAAATACCACCTCAACAGCCCCTCTTCAGCCTTCTGACTAATACTTTTAGTAACTCCACACCTCCTAATTTCCACACTGAATTCTGTGCATAATATTTACACCACACATTGCCCTTAAACAGGACATCTCCACTGCCTCCAGCCGCCTCCTTGCTGCAGCATTTACAACCCAAGCTTCACACCCATATAAGAGTGTTGGTAGGACTATACTCTCATACATTCTCTTCTTTGCCTCCATGGATAACGATCTTTGTCTCCACATGTACCTCAATGCACCACTCACCTTTTTTCCTTCATCAATTCTATGGTTAACCTCATCCTTCATGAATTCATCTGCTGACAAGTCAACTCTCAAATATCTGAAAACATTCACTTCTTCCATACTCCCTCCCTCCAATGCACCTGGAATATACCTGGACAGGGTTTTGGGGGTCAACGCCCCCGTGGCCCGGTCTGTGACCAGGCCTCATGGTGGATCAGGGCCTGATCAACCATGATATCCTCGTCACCTTACTTTATCTATATTCACTTTCAACTTTCTACCTTTACACATCCTCCCAAACTCGTCCACTAACCTTTGCAACTTCTTTAGAATCCCCCAAAAGTGCAATATCACCAGCAAAAAGTAAATGTCAACTCCCATTTTGTATTTGATTCCCCGTAATTTAATCCCACTCCTCTCCCCAACACCCTGGCATGTACTTCTTTTACAACCTCATCTATAAATATGTTAAACAACCATGGTGACATTACACATCCCTGTCTAAGACCTACTTTTACTAGGAAGTAGTCTCTCTCACTCCTACAGTGCTAGTCAGGGGAGTGACGAAAATCAAAGGCCTACCATACAGGGGGTCTTTTTTTTATGTGTGCATTATGCTGGGTAGCAGCCATTAGCATGACGTCATGGCCTGCTGCCACACTTCACAGTGACTCCTCAGTGCTCACGTGGCTGCCGTGGTGAGAGGAAGTGTTGTACTTTTGTCTCTCATCCACACCATCTCTTGTCCGGTGTTCCCTTTGGTTTTGGGGCTATACATGTTTGATTATGGGTAAAAGGAAGTCTTTAACACCTGAAACTATAGCTCAAATCACAGAGCTTCACAAAGCTGGGCAACAGATGAAAGAAATAGTGGAGAATGTTGGTGTTTGTGAGCGTTTAGTGAGGAACTGGGTGTAGCGTTTCAAGGCTGGTGGCGGTGTCGAGTTACCATCTGTCAAACCTCGGCCTGGCCCCTCGAAGAAGACATCTGTTCATACCTTAACTGTGTTAAAGAAGCAGTTAGAGAGTACATCTAAGATAACTGCTAGAGAATTGAAAGAAAAGAACCCTCATCTTCTCTCAGAGGTGTCTGTAAGAACTGTTAACAGACGTGTGTCAGAACTGGGCTGCAGTAGACACCCCCAGGTTAAGAAACTGATTCTCTCCAAGCCACAGAAGAATCGTAGGCTAGATCATGCAAAGAAATATCTTCACTGGAATCCTCCACAGTGGTCTGAAGTACTTTGGAGTGATAAAGCAACCTTCACCGTCACCTGTAACTGTTGGGGACATATGTACCGGCCCAGAGGTAGTGACCTGCTAGACCCACGCTACACCTGTGGCACCACCAAACACCCAGACTCGCTCATGGTTTGGGGGTGAACTCATTGTGCTTCCCAAAACCAGTATAAGAATCAGTATAAATACCTGGAGTTATTGTGTGACAATTTACCTGAGGCGTTTGACAAGTATAGGGCTACAGTTTTTATGCAGGAAGGTGCACCATGTCATACTTTCAAGCTATCGGTATAGGTTCTGTAAACTGACTGGTTTAAGCCCTACCTTAACAACAGGAGACAAATTGTCAAAATCAACAAAATGGAATAAGAACCCCTGCCGATAGCATGTTGAGTTCCCCAAGGTAGTATTCTGGGTCCCTTATTATTCCTATGCTATGTTAACGACATGCCTATCAGTGTCAAGTGCAAACTCCTACTGTATGCAGATGACAGTGCTCTGTTAGTGTCAGGTAAAGACCCACAAGATATAGCTAATGCATTAACACTGGAACTGGAGTCCTGCAGCAAATGATAAGTAGACAACAAACTATTATTACACCTCGGGAAAACTGAAACCATTCTCATTGGTATGAAACATAAACTGAGAAGAGCAAATAATTTTAATGTCCAGTGTAATGGGGAGCCCATCATTTCAGTTTCCTCAGTAAAATATCTGGGAATCCCCTTTGACCCATGCATGTCAGGAGAATTGATAGGGAACACTGTAGTAAAGAAAGCGAATGCTAGACTGAAATTCCTCTATAAACTAGCATAGTGTCTACCTACTGAGACTCGCAGGACCCTATGCCTAGCCCTTATACAGTGTCATATGGATTACGCTTGCTCTTCATGGTACTCTGCTTTGACAAAAAAAAAAAAAAGACTGAAAGATAGACTGCAAATCACCCAGAGCAAAGTGGTGAGATTCATCCTAGGCCTGGGTCCAAGAGAGCATGTAGGACAGGATGAATTACAAAAACTGGGTATGGTGAATGTAGAAGACAGAGTAAAACAACTGAAGCTAAATCATGTTTATAAAATTGCTCACAAACAGTGTCCAGAATATCTTGCTGCCAATTTTGTCAAGGTTGGGAACCAAAGCAATCATAGTACTTGGGGGAGAGAGCACAACTTTGTAGTACCCACAGTCAGTGGCCAGGCTTCAAACACCTTTTATCGTACAGCAATAAAGGAATGGAACAGTCTGCCTGCACATGTCAAAGCCAGTCATAGCATGAACCAGTTCAAGAAGACTGCCAAAAGGTGTCTCATGAATGTAGCAACAGAAATGGAGGGGAATGATTTTTTTTTTAGCTAATACACGTGTAATTTTACCTTATTCCTAGTAATGACCCTCTTATTGTAGTCATACTGACCCACGTGTAGTAGATAGTCTTTTTAGTATGATAATAAGATGTTATCTCCATTATAGAACAATAAGATATTATAACCTTTATATTATAATAATAAGGTAAAAGGATCCCAATGAAAATAAGTCACTCTGTCTGACTTTATTGGGTAATCCCAGGTTCTCTACACATATGCTGCTATGTATGATAATCTATGTAACTGTATTTGTGTATACCTGAATAAACTTACTTATTTACTTCCCTCCAAATCTGTAGTTCAGTGGCTTAAGGACTGTGAAGTGAGGTTCTTTAATGACTGGCCAGGCAATTCCCCAGACCTAAACCCTATTGAGAATCTCTATTCATTAGTGAAACGAAGTTTACTGGGCAAGGATATCAGTTGATCCAGCGGTTGGAGGCTGCTCTACATGACGCATAGAATAATATAACTCCCCAAACCCTCAAGAATTTGTATGAGAGTTTTCCTGCACGGCTGAGGGACGTGATTAAGCATAAAGAAAGCAGCACCAAGCATTAAAACCTCAGTGAGTGTGCAAATATATATATTATAATCTTTCATGGTATGTGTTTGTGTTTTGGAAAGCGTGTGTGGGAGGGGCGGCATAATGCCGTGACTAGTACTGTACACACCCTAACCTGAGCTTCACTACTCATAAAAACTCTTTACAGCATTTAGTAACTTATTACCTTTCCATACAGTTGCAACATCTGCCACATTCCTCCTCTATCCTCTCTATCATATGTCTTTTCTAAATCCATAAATGCAATGAAAACTTCCCTACCTTTATGTAAATACTGTTCACATACATGCTTCAATGTAAACACCTGATCTACACTACCCCTATCCATTATTAGTATTATTTCTTCTTCTTGCAACAAACTGGCCGCATCCCACTGAGGCAGAACAGAACAGAACAGAACAGAACGCACAGTCACAATACCAGGCACAAAGCACTCTTTGGCATCCCTCGTGTCAGTATCACACTATGCAAAAATGCAATGCACATAAAGGGCCCGAAGATCCGGAATTCACTACCTGAATCGGTAAAGGATCCCCTGACTACTTATAAATTTAGGAATATGCTTAAAAATCATCTCATCGGTCAATACTAACTAAACCAACCAAAACAACTTCTAACCAATTTGAAGCAACTCTCAAATATTTTATTATATGAGCTCTAGTCTATTAAAACATCTGTCAATCCATGAAATATTACTGTTTGAACCATTAATTGTAATATTGTTTTTATTATGTGTAGCTTCAAGATTATTATTTTTATAAACCTCGACCTTGACTACCTCCCATTAGTATCAAGATAAAATAAACATTAAAAAGTTAACCACTTGTATTGTCTAGACTAAGTAGTTATTATGTGCAATGATAAGTCTGCCCAAAATGCCCCGCTTGATAGTGGCTTTCTTTATTCTTAACTAATCAAAATTTTAAATACACATTGTAACCTTGCAAAGAAATAATATCTTTATCTTTAAAAAGGAAAACTAAAGTTTCTCTTTTTCAATTTAGTAATGTATACAGGAGAAGGGGTTACTAGCCCCTCGCTCCCGGCATGTTAGTCGCCTCTTATGACACGCATGGCTTACGAAGGAAGAATTCTGTTCCATTTCCCCATGGAGATAAGAGGAAATAAACAAGAACAAGAAAAAGTAAGAAAATAAAAGAAAACCCAGAGGGGTGTGTATATATATGCTTGTACATGTATGTGTAGTGTGACCTAAGTGTAAGTAGAACTAGCAAGATGTACTTGAAATCTTGCATGTTTATGAGACAAAAAAGACACCAACAATCCTACCATCATATAAAACAATTACAAGTTTCTGTTTTACACTCACTTGGCAAGACGGTAGTACCTCCCTGGGTGGTTGCTGTCTACCAACCTACTACCTGGGATTGTTGTTATTATAATAATTTTCAACAAATCACTTGAACAAATTTTTCTAGATATTCTATTAACTGATGTTAATAACTACTGAACAATATTTAATTTACCAATATTACCAAAAAATATTTGAGAAAGTAGACCACAAACAGTTGTACACATACCTAACCAAACACAACATACTTATTCCTTGTTAATTTGGGGTGGCAGTGTATCTTAGATAAGGCTGGGCTCTGAAATGAGCTGAGGTACAGTAACAGTTCTTACCCTGTAAATTTGATTTGTGTAAAATATAAAAAAAAATCTTGACACTGTTGACAACATTTTCCCCCTCAAGCTAAATCTCTAGGGACTCAGAGGATACACATACAGATATTTTCAATAACCCCTCAGTAACAAGCACAAGCACGTAACCATAAATAACACTTCTTCTAGTATACCCTATCAATGAATTTAAATGTCCCCCCAAGGTGGTATCCTGGCTCTCTTCTTTTCACTTATATCAGTGACCAACCTAATGGTACTCAACATGTCAAACCTCTACTCTTTGCTGATGATACAACTTTTACATTACTGTACTAGGTCAAGACCCCTTGAAGCCCTGGCATAAGGAATTTATGTCTGTGGATCCACTTTGGCAAAATATCTCAAATCATCAATATTCAACAAAAAGCAACTATCAGAAGTATCACTAGCTCTAATTATAGGTAACATGAGATGCCTTATTTTCAAGTCCCTAAACATGCTAAAGATAAAGATTTATTTCTTTGTAAAGGTCACAGTGTGTAATTACAATTTTGGTTTGCTAAGTACAAAGAAAGCTACTCTCATGCTGGGGCATTTTGGGCAGATTAATCCTAGTACACAGTAACTACTTAAAACTAGACAAAATAATAGTGGTTAACTTGATTACAGTCTTATTTAATCTTAATACTAATGCAAGGTAGTCAAAGTGGAAGTTTATACGAATAATAATCTTGTAGTTGTACATGATAAAAACAATATTGCAATTAATGGTTCAGGTAGTAATATTTCATGGACTGGCAGATGTTTAATAGCTTAGAGGTCACATAATGTAACTAATTGGAAGTTGTTTTGGTTAGTATTGGGAGATGAGACGATTTTTTAGCAAAGTTCCAAATTTATAAGTAGTCAGAGCATTCTTTGCCGGTTCCGGTAGCGAGTTCAAGATCTTCGGGCCCTTTATGTGCATAGCGTTTTTGCATAGTGTGAGACTGACACGAGGGATGTTGAAGAGGGCCTTATGCCTTGTATTGTGACTGTGCATTCTGTTGTAACTATCAAGGAGAAGTTGAAGTGGAGGGTTTATAGTGGAATTCAATGTTCTGTACATGTAGTAAATATAATTGCCTTTCATATATGCTAATGTTCACTCCACTGCAATATATCGTTGGTCCTGACGTAAGATATTTCCTGGTAAATTGTAGAAGAGCACACAGGCATCATACTAGCAACAAATATCTATTTGATGTTGTTTGGCATTTTGGGGGTCTAAGGAATATAATCCTATATTTCCCATACATTCTTCAGTTTCTTCCCCTCAAGGGGAAGTTTCTTCCCCCTCACCAGTATCAAGGAGATCCTTGATGCTGGTGAGGGGCTCTTGATCTAGGGAATTGGATCTGTGCTCCAGTTCCCTGAATTGAGCCTGAATATCTTCCATCCCCCCCACAGGCGCTGTATAATCCTATGGGCTTAGAGCTTCCCCATGATTATAATAAATCTTCAGTTTCTTTTACATGATTTAGTCTTCCACTTTAGTTTTCGGAAACGTAACTAGAGTAGACCCCCAGTTTTCGTAATTAATCTGTTCCAGAAGGTTGGCCGAAGTCGGAAATGGCCGAAAACCGAAGTAATGTTTCCTATAAGAAATAATGTAAATCCAATTAATCCGTTTCAGACACTCAAAAATATTAACAAAAAATACTTTTAATGGAGAATAACTATAGTTTTACATACAGAAAACAATGATAAATAAATATAAATGACTAATTTTAATGATAAATGAACATTACATACCTTCTTTGAAGACTATTGTTGAGTAGTATTTATTTGTAGTCCCAAGCGGACTACATCCCAGTGTATACCTACCAGCTACATACACTGCAGCCTACAGCCATATTATTACCATCAACATACCACGTTCACTGATTTTAATAGTTTCTAACAACTACCTTGGTTCTCTACACATATGCTGCTATGTATGATAATTCTATGTAACTGTATTTGTGTATACCTGAATAAACTTACTTACTTACTAATTACTTACCTTTAGATGCCATCATAAATAAAGGGAGAAATAATGAATAATTCATGCCGAGAATTGTAAACAAAAGCTTATGGATTAAGGCCAGTTACTGGGGCAATGCAAATTCATACAGTTTTCTTTAACACTGGACCAGAGAAAACATAATGTTTACCCTCCACTGCATATAAATATTGCATGTTTATATGCTATGTAACGCGTTTCTTACATGATTTTGAAGAAAATATCATAGATGGATTAATGAAAATGTCTATATTAACCTAAAATAAGACATTTAATGTGCCCAAGAGTGAATCACGAACGTATGAGCGGCCCAGGCGCACACGTCTGGTACTAACAATTTCCGAAGGGATGTACAAAACCAGGAGGGAAATTTCGCCAAAAAAAGTGCTTGAAATCCGAATTGTATGATTTCCGCACCAGCCGAAAACCAGGGGGTCCACTGTATTGTATTACTCGACGGTCTACTGCTGGTTAAATACACATTCCCGTAACTATACCTGTATATAGAAATTTTTGTCACTGTAGCTGCTGAACTCCTTGACAGATAAAGTAGTAAGACCATAAATCTTCTTTACTATTGCAGGAACATCCCCAAGTTTTACGAATGGTCGAATTATTTGACCTGGCTGTTGCACTTCTTTTTCTGAGGATTCAGATGAAGCAGACATCTTGATCTGAAAATTAAAAAAAAATGAAGCATTTAGACACAATGTAGTCAAGTGCCCTAACTTCACTTATTATATATAACTAGAAAATTGGTAAGTAGTACATTTGTCTCAGTTACTTCCTTGTGCTGAACGAACCCATATATTGTGTCCTGGTGGGAATAAGAGATATTTATGTTGACTGTAGTCCCAAACAGTCTTAGAAATTTGGTGTATCCTGCAGAAAGAAGATGCTCATTTATTGAAACTTTTCCCAAACAATCACAAAAACCAAAAAAGATATGCACGTGTTGCAATTTTTTAAATATTAGGGGAGACTGGGGCTAGTTGGCAACAGGGGTAAGTTGACACACTTTTAATAATTTAAATATTTACCGCTAGAGGGCGTTGTTATTTACATCATAGGATCACCAGGTGCTTGCTCACTCACCAACAAGCTTCCATACCAAGAGGGTGCAGTACTTAACTTGAGTGGGGAAAAATTTGATTTTGATGCTGGTAAGTAAATTATCATTCACTTATATTGTTTGCTGTAACATGTATGGTGTTATAGATGAGAAATATCCAATTTAGCCATAATTTAATTTAGGGTTTAAGAATTGTTTATCCATGAAACAGTTTATTAATATATACTAAAACAATTTATTTATGAACATTGGTATGGTTGGGGCAAGTTGGCTCAACAAAAATGGGGCAAATTGGCACAGGAAGATCAACAAGAAACGCAAGTGTTTCAGCCTGCTACAAATTTAAGTGATAACGCAGACGGCCATGACACACCACAAAGTCTGATCGCAACAATCCAGTCAAAATCTTGTTCAGTTCAGAATGTTTCTAACCTTCAAGATGAGAATGAACCAAGACCCTCTACTTCTGGACTATGGGAAGAAAACCCCAACTCCCGAAGAACTGAGGCCATTGCATAAAGCTGGTCCCAGGAAGAGAAGTGGAATGAACAGGAGGAAACGCTCCTCTGCCATTTTGACTGACACACCAGTGAAAAAGACACTGGAAAAAATATCAAAAGAAGCAAAGAAGAAACAATCAAAGAAATCAAAACGTCTTCATGGTGACGAGGAAAGTTCAGATGGAGAGGACAGTCTGTATGTATGGGTCCTTTTTCCAAAAGCAAACCACGAGAAGTATGGATACACTGATGAAGATTTGTTTTATACATGCCCCAACTGTGACTCAGATGATGATTTAGATTAAGTTCACCTCAGGTGTTAAGTATTTTGTGCAATTATTATCTGGAAGTGCTATTATTTTCAATTGAATGTATAACACCTAGTCAGTTTTTAATTTTATAATTATTAAAAAGGATTCTTTCTGTACTAAGAAAAGATTTTTAAGTTTCTATGGAACTGAATATTCTTGAAATAAAACATTATGAATAATCAGTGTCTAAATTTTCTGTAACATATTCCAAATTTACTATTACTATTTGCTGTGCCAACTTACCCCATAGTATGTGCCAACTTACCCCATAGTATGTGCCAACTTACCCCATAGTATGTGCCAACTGTGAAGGCTTACTCAGCCCTGTAACAACTTCAGTGAGTATTACCAAGGCTGGCTCCTCCTTAGGAAAATTAATGAATAGAAAAAGAAATAATAATACACAAAGATAAATACTTCATTATTTAGTAATGAAAATATAAAACAATTAAATATGAATTTTTATCCTACTTGAAAGAAAAATGAAAAAATATAAATGATATCTGAATTCAACGCTAGTATGTACAGTTAAACTTGGGTGTCTGGTTGATGTTGACACCGTCTTGTAGAAATTGTAGCCGTTGTTGATGTGGGGGGGTCACAGGTGTTGAGTGACAACCCAACGACTAGTTCTTCACAGAGTCTATAGCCTTGAATAGTCTGTCCAGATGACTGGAACGCAGGTTCTTCACTACTGCAAAGATAAGGGGTAGTTGCCTGCAGTTGACTACATTAATCAGGCAGGTAGATCAAAAAGTGACGTCCCATAACTTGTGAAAAGTCCGTCTCCTTCAACACATTTTCTTTGGTTGCCAGATGACCCGAGCTGTCATTCCAAGCTAGAAAGAGACAATGGTTACCCACTGCTTGAAAAATCACTCTCCATGATAAGTGCAAGACAGTTAAAAAATTTGGTGATGTAAAAGCACAACATGGAAATCAAGGCAGAATGAACTAAGTTTTAGAACTGGTTGAAAGTGAAGCTTTTAACCATCATATTAACTAGAATAGGAGCAGAGGATTTTACTTACAGTTGTGCTGGGAGCTGTGAGTCAAGTGATTATCCATTTGGTTGGAGCCCCACACGTCACCTTTCCGGGTGGAGAAACGGGGAAGGGGGGATAGCAGGACCTAGACACTGACCCTACCTTAACAAGCAGACTGCCAATCAAACTATCGTCACCATATACTCGCTCGCTACTCCTATCTGTCAACTGACTGTCATGACTTAACCAGTCAGAGAAATAATTGGATGAACCATTGATATACACAATATGAAACTTAAAAGCTTGGAGTGCCAATGTCTACCTCAAGAGGCGACTGTTGGTTCCCTTAAAAGTTTCTACGTATATCAAAGGTTTGTGATCCGTCTCTAAAATGAATGCCTTACCCAGTAAATAAAATTTAACTTTGGAAATACCCCACACAAGGGCCAAACATTCCTTTTCTATGGGGGGACAATCTCGTTTCTGCAGGAAGAAGTTTTAGATTTAATAAATATACAGGAAATAGGAGTGCGTGTATTTTGTGCAGTAAGCACTTGACACCTATTGCAAGAACTATACTTCTTTGTAACCTGCGAGTACATGCTTGGCCAAATATAAGTGTGTTTGAGTTTATGCCACGTCTTACGATGGGCCAAGTGTTCGGTCACTGGCAAATCATGAGCCCTTTGATGAACAGTCTCTCGGCATGGTTTAGGAACAACAAGGAGGGAATAATCTATCGCTGAAGAATGAAATTTAAATACGATTTATATAAGATTCTATTAAAATATTCAAACCTATGTGATACATATCTCTCGTGGATAACTTTGTTGTTAAAAGCATGATGATGATAATCCCGCTGTAAATTGATAAAGTCATCCTTGGACATAAAATCTGGGAAAATGAGAGGACTTAGGGTAGGAGAAGAGGAGGTAGGAGAAGTCTGGGCTTTGGTCGGAGCCCTAGTCAAGACATTGAGAGTGCCGGAGGCAATACCCTTACTTTCACCTGACGAGTGAACAGGTGATTCTGCTACCTCACTATCGAAAGCAATATCATCTGTTTCTACCCCCAAATGAACCGTATGAGACAATGCAGCTTCAGGTGCGGAATTGTTAAGGGGTTTATTTAATTTGCAGGAAGAGGAGCTGGAAAACTTAGGTCCACGGGTGGTGACGAAAGATCCGCCTCCGAAGGAAGAATAGCATTTTTAACGTCATCGGACATATACATGTTTTGAGACCCCAGCACCTAACTCTTATACAGCGAGTGATAGTTGTAAACATTTTATTGTATAGTAAGATTTGGCATGTCGCAGCTGTGTTCCCAATTACAGGGACAGTGATTGCGGAAATTCTAAGACGGGTGTACAAATTTTTGTGGGGTTCACGTTGTGATTGGTTAAGGAGAGAAGTTGTAATGTTACCTGTAAGTCAGGGTGGGTTGGGATTGATGGATTTGAGACGGAGGGCTAAGTGTGTGTTTATTAAATGGGAAGTGTTGCGTGAGGGTGTGAACGCGGGGCAATTGGGTATGTGGTATCGAGGAATGGAGTTGAGGGAATGCAAAATCGTATTGAGGGCCGTGATGTTAGTTAGGGAACTGAGAAAGGTTCGTATAAGGGATTTGTGTAGGTTGCTTGTAGGTAGGTGCGTTGTCCCAGTTGAGGGTTTGTTCCCCATGTATGCGTGGAAGAGTATTTGGTTTAGATTTAGTAAAATGAAGTTAAACCCTCGGGCACGTGAGGTGATGTTTCGTTTTCTGCATGGGATCCTTCCGTCTGGTGAGATACTACGAAGCAGACAGGTTGTAGAGGGTGGGGGGTGTGGTATCTGTGGAGGGGATGAGACTGCGTTCCATGTAGTTTACTTTTGTGAAGGACTAGAGGTGGTTAGGTGCTGGTTAAGTAGGTTGGTACAGAGGGTGGGTGGCCGTGGAGTGTCGGTTCTGCGTGCTTTAAGTCTAGATATGGGTGGGTTAGACGAGGGTGTCATAAGAGCTTTAGATTATATCATGGTAGATTATATATGTATGTCGTGGGTGATGAGGGGGAGAGAGGATAGTGAAGAACGAAGGAAGGTTCTTGCGGTAACGTTCTGTCGTACGATGTGTCGTAACAGAGATTTGTATGGGAGGAGGTGGGATCAGGCTTTCTCAGAGGGGTATAGAATGCTAACGTTAGGGATTCTCGTAAATCTGTGATTGATAATGAGTGAGTGAAGGGGTTTTCATAGGTTGGAGGGAGTCAGGGGGTCACAGCGGGCTCGACTCCTTGGGGGATGGATGTCGTGAGTGTTGTGAATGTGGGTTTGGTATGGTTTCCTGTTTTTCATTGAGACTTTATGGCATTACACCTTGTGGTTATCTTGCCAAGTGTGGATGTAGAGCTCAAGGACTCGTTATATCGATATAACACTTTTCAGGAATGTAGGTATAATATAGTAGGGTTTTTTATGCATTTTTTTGATTCTTGAGTAATAAGTTCTTTTCGACATGAAGTGTGTTATAGTTTGTATTATGTTACGTGCTGGGTTTTTGCATGATGAGATATACTTATGTACTGTTTTGCTTTGTGCATACAGTGCATCTGATTAATGTGGTTTTGTGAAACATTTTGCGTGTATGTGTGTGTGTGTACTCACCTATTTGTGGTTGCAGGGGTCGAGTCCTAGCTCCTGTGTGTGTGTGTGTGTGTGTGTGTGTGTGTGTGTGTGTGTGTGTGTGTGTGTGTGTGTGTGTGTGTGTGTGTGTGGTGTGTGTATCCCTTTCTATTATATTGAGCCTTTGTCATGGGTCAGGCG